AGTATCCCCCTCTATGACCTCAAATCATCTGATCAGTAGTTCCACTTTTATTTGATGCCTGCAGTTCAGAAACAAATGATCCCAAAGGTTGATAAGATCAACTCTTTCGAAAGTCCAAACAAACCCGGTGCACTTAAATCCCTCTCCTTCAAAACAGAGAGAAAGAGCAGTAAACTGGTTCCAAGGAGAGGAATCTGCTTTCAGCTCTGGTAGCATCAATCACAAATAAATGGCAGATGCAAGATTGTAAACTTGGAAGCAGTGGGTATTGCTTTGTTGTTGTTGTTGTTTAATATTTTAATACACACAGTTCACAGAAGATGCTCAATAATTGTGAGACAGTCAAATCAAAATTAAGAAAATCTGATCTGATTATTTGGCAATTTTGACAAGAAACGGAAATGAAACTTTAGCAGCATGCTATGAAGACCTGTGCCAGCAAACCCATTTCATTCCTCCTTGTACATCAAGCTATTTACCGGTTATTATGCCAGCATGGCCTCCGTTTCTACTCAGGGTAGAGACACAAATGTGAAAATGAGCTAACATGACAGGAGTTAGAGCTGGCAGTAAATTTATAAATTGTTAGCTTATTCTTAAGAATGACCCACTTGCCACATTTCGGGTTATTTTACTGTGTAGCAAATATGATCATGTATACCAGCGAGTTTTGTTTTTAAGTCTTTCTCTCCTTTCTATGCATTAAATAAAAATATATTAAGTACTACAACTGCATGACTAAGTGAAAACTCCCCAAAATAAGGAAGAGCTGTGTCTCTCAGTCAGGTTTGCAGTGAGCAATTCTGAAGCCTGCAGAAGGGGGATTAGACACCGCAGGGCAGAGAGCTTTAATCAGGGAAGAATCGAATCCAAAGAGTGAACTGTCATGGAACAAAGTGTAAGAATTTCTAGCTGCTTGTTTCAGGTTTTCATTTTTGAAAATTTAGACAATGAAAAATTCAAAATATTTACATTTCTACATAATGCATTCCTGTAAATTAATCATAAATAGTTTTATGCAGTGTGCAAAGCTCCAAAAAGCATTGGGGTGGAAATGTATCATTTGAAATTTTTATGAAAAATTATAGATACTGACAATTAATGTAATAACTGCCCATAGTACTCTCCCATGCAAACCATCTTTCTGATGTCAGTGAACTAAATTTACTGTCATCTAATTTCCCAGAGTTTTTCTCTGGGATGGCAACAAATGACTTTAATTTTAAGGAGCTGAATATGGTATAGTATTGACATTGTTTTGATGACTTTGGCTCACTGCACTGAAACTGGACTCTTGGACAATCTTCATTGACCCAGTTCAGCCCAAATTCTTGGTACCTCAAGTGTCATTAATAATTATTCCTGGATCGCGCTCCTGGATATCAAGCCATTGGAATGCCTGGATTAAACTTTTCCATCCAGAGTTCTAAACTGATTAAACCCATTATAATTTTGTGTAGATGCCTCTAAGTGAGCAAAAGGAAATCTTACAGAAAAATGCTTATACAATAGGTTTTTTAAAAACTATTTCCTTCTCTAAATTCCATTGAGATGTCAGAAATGTACCCTGCTGTGGAAGTATGTAACATTTACTTCAAGGTAAATATTTTGGCTTGGCTGCTTGCTTGTTTTTGAGGACACTTAGTACACCTTTAGGTAATAAACATTAGGTGCCAATTCCATCTCAGACACCATTTGAGAGGATGCTTTGAGGATGGCACCTCAAGTTGAAACAGGTATATCATATCCTGCCTGCATTGTACCTTCACCCCACATACAGTAGGCTCTTCACATGGAAGGCAACAGAAACCTTTAAAGAAACAATAATCACAGGATCCAAGTACCTGTGGACTACAAACTCCCTTTATTTAAACTTTTCTCACCCGTTTGTAAGTTCAGTTATTGAAAGTGGTTTGCATTGTGGGGCTCACCTATGATTGTATTTACTTATGTATCATTTACATTAAGTTCCTTCTACCACTTCACAGAACAGTATGACATGAGAGCCTTTGATGGCACTTGAAGCTAATTCCAAAAAGAAAGAGAATGCTGTAACGAGGTCATCAAACAATATTTGAAAGCAACTCTACCACAATATGAAAAACGCAATTTCAAGATATGCTCCAATGAAAGCCACATTAGGAAATAGTAGTGTAGAGTGTGGGCAGAGGTGATATAATTCACATCTACTGTGTATAAATGCAAAATAAAAACACAGGAGATACACTCACTTGTAGGGTTACATCTATCCCCTCAAAGTGTTGTGAGCTCCTTTACGCCCAAGATGACGCTGAGCAGATAGATAGACCTGTACAGCCCAATCGGTCTCTGGATGTAAAAGTCACAGAAAAATTAAACTGAGTCAGCATATAAATATGATAACAAACACCTGGAAAGCATGTATTCCTGGATCCTAAGAAATCTAGTTGACAGTTTAAAAAAATCATTATGTGGCTCCCAAATGTTTCATGTTCAATTCAGGGACACATATGAAAAGAATTCAAGAAACATGAATCAGAACTATTGCTTCACACTGCCGTGATGAGCAAGATGCATATTTCTAAAACCTTCTTAAATAAGTAAAACAGAGAATTGCTTCTTGCAAACCTGCATCGTGTGTCTTACATTGTAGTGACTGACTACAGGTCTCGGACTTGGTAGGTGGTGTTTCCTCAGAGTAGGAAGTATTTGTACTCTCAAGGAAACTGTCTCTGCAATGGCATTCAGTGTGACGGTGAATTTTTTTTCATGATCCATCTATCTGAACTTTCTGAGGGTGACTCCATAGCCCTATTTCTTTAGCCTCATTCTCTGTCAGATTATGAGCAGCCCAGACAGGTCTGCCGAAGTCATAAAATCAAGCAGTAAGAATGTAATGCATCATAGATATTTCTTTATATATTACAGGCATTTGAAGATTCATTAACTAAGATGATCATGTCCGAGTCAGGCCCTCAATAAATGTTCTTTATTTCCTTTACATCTTCCCATATATCTCTCTCTCTCTCTCTCTCTCTCTCTCTCTCTCTCTCTCTCTCTCTCTCTCTCTCTCTCTCTCTTTCTTTCTCTCTCTCTCTCTTTTTCTCACATCATCTTGTTTCTACATCACATTGTAGGAGGCAGACTAATCTCTTGGATGGCAATGAATGTGGTCATCAGCCTTAGTAGTGGGATTTAGGATGCATAATATCATATCTGTCTGGGCTCTACTTTCTCTAGGTACAAAACGGAAAGCTCACTGTCTGACCCACTGTTTTGCAAAGGGAAGTTGCAAGAATTGATAACATAAAAGACAAGCTGTCCTTCTACATATTTGTTAGGGTTTTGTAACATTTAAATATTTCATATATGCTTCCCCGGAACCCACCATAATGGCTGTGAAGCTATAGAGTACAATCCAAGGGTGAGTTTACATCTTATAATACCTGATGCATATACAATTTGGGAAGCTGTATGTAAGAAAAAATTGCCAATGCTAACTTAGGTCCAAAAGTGAACATTTCTGTAAGATAAGAAAGAAATCATGACAAGTTACAATGACTAAAGGCTGGCAAGCACCACAAACATCACAAAACCCAGAGAAATAATATAATATTTCTACTCATTAACTGACTAACACCTCTAAATACTTTTTGGCTGCATACTTCTTAATATGACGATAATGTTATAATGGACAGAAGAGAAAAAAATTATACTTTCATATAGCATAGTTATCAAATATCATTTTTTATTATAAATAAATTAGAAAACCTGCAGTCCACTTTTCTGTGTCTATGGCAGTTTTGACGTGTTACGTCACCTGAAACTAGCAGACTCTGTCAGGATAGGCATGTTGGATAGGCTCAAACAAAATCCCACTCATTAGGATGTGTAAACAGGTGACTTCACATGGTCAAACTCCTTGTTTAAAGTCCTGTTACAGCCTTGTATCTAAAAACACAGGAATTCTTAAATTCTATTTTGTAGGATTCACATCAAAAAAATTGGTGTGCCTTATTATACTATATATAATTGTATAAGCTGCTTAATCAAGTATATTCCACTTTGACTGGATTTTGGTATCTGAATTCTCTGCTTACAATTTGACATATCTAGAGATTAGAAGGATATCCCACAAACTAGTTCTGGTTCTTTACATTTAAAGTCTTTCTTTTTTTTTTTCCTCCACAACCTACATCCTTCTAGCACCATAGGACAGGTTAATATAACAGTTTGACCACTGGCGCTGCACCTTCAGTCAAGACTCCAGGTGAGCTGGTGGAGTGGGCAGTAAGAGCACTTAGGGTAGCCATGTTTACCCTGGGAGGGCTAGAAACAAATTTCACTATATGTTAAAGCAAGCATGAGACACATACAAACCCACTAAACCCAGACCAAAGGTATCATCAACTGAACTGTCCCTTTAGCCAGATCCCCCAAAATGCCAATCCCACACTGCCTGACATGAAGGAAGGGGTGACTTGGGGGAAGTGAGAATGGAAACAGAGCAGCCATAACTGATTATGGTTAAAATGGCTTAAACTGGCAAATTTTCCAAATGCATATAACCATGGAAACACCTTACTTGAGCATCTCCATGGGAGGGGTCCATACAAGTGTGGGACCCGGAGTGTAAAGTTTCATGAACTTCATGGTGAATCTGCTTCCAGTACAGATTTGGGGTCAGACACACTAAGGTTTCAATCCCTTCTTAGTTGTATGGCGTTCACTAAGTCCCTGAGGCAATCTAAGTGTGTGTCCTCATCTGGAAAAGGGATATAATGAAACTTACCTTATATGATTGCTGTGATGAAAATCTATGCGTGTAAATTGCATATTCTAAGCACTCAGCAATTGGTAACTATGTTTATTAATAGATTAAAAGTTCAGGATTTGTCGCCCCTTATTTTTAAAAACCCCGAACACTCTGCACTATTATTTAAAATAAACCTTTGGCTTCTAACACCTACCATCCTACATCTCTTCATTTACTTTATTCTCCTATCCAAGAACACACTTACCCTTCTCTTGTTTTCTAATTCAGAGCCTGTGTATGTATCCTTCCAGCAGAGATCTCACCCCTTCTTTCAAGGTTTTCAGATGTTTCAGTATCTGTTGCTGAGTCCATCCTCTGAAAGTCTGTAGCAGCACTGCCCAATAAAAATATAAGGTCGGCCACATTTGTCATTTAAAGTGTTCTATAGGCACGTTTAAAAAAACTAAAAAGAATTAAACCCAAGTGAAATTAATTTTACCTAATATATGCAAAGCATTGCTTCAACATGTAATCAGCATTTTTTTAATTATTAGTGAGGCATTTTACATTCCCTTTGTCATACTATGTCTTCAAAATTCAGTGTATATTTTGCACTTATAGCACTTTGAGTTCACAATAACCACATTTCAAGTGCCCAGTAGCTACATGTGTCTAGTGGCTCCCATTTTGGCTAGCACAAGTCTATAGCATGACTAGTTTGTACCATACTGTTTAATATATATTATAGAGTGCCATTCTGTTTGCTGGTGTTTCCTGTGTGTCAGTCCTTTCCCAGCTAGTTTCAAGACTCTTTGAAGAAGGGAACTCCTCTTAGAGTTCTGTATCTCTGAGATGCACTGTTCAGACACAGTGGTCATTCAGTCAAGATTTGCTGATCAATAGTTTGGATGCATTTAAAAATCCTAGAAGGAAAACTTCAACAGACGATGTGATTTCCTTCCTCTTGTCTTGCCTTTATCACTCTGTAAGTGTTGTTTATCTCTGGATGTAAATTCTCAGAGTATGTGGAATAATGCCATTTACAGGCTGGCATTAATAAATCTGCTCTGGCATTAGCCTGAATAATGCAAGAGGCAAAAACAAGAGGGAGTATTGCTTGTGGTAATGCTTTGCTTATGGATTAAACAATCACAGGCTCCTAGGTATGTATGGACAGCAATATAATCTCACCACCACACCAAAAAGTAGGGCTCTGATTTTTTAAATGTTTACTTACCAGTGATCAAAAAATAGTAGTTCACTTTTTATTTGCAACTCTGCTGTGGAAGTAGAAGTTGCTTTCTTCTAGAAGTTGCTTTCACAACCAGGGAAGTCAGAACCAATGGCATACCACATCTAGTGTGCTACACGATACTCAGATCTTTCCACACACCTTTGAAGCTATACCGTGGTAAAGTATTTGTCACATCTTTAGCTTGGTGATTTTTAAAAATTCAGATAAAGGGCCGGCTGAGTGGCTCAGTTGGTTAAGAGCTCGCTCAAGAGTTTGAGCTCTGAGCAACAGCGGTTCGAGTCAGCCCGAGCTGAGCAGAGGGGGCGGGATGGCTCAGCTAAAAAAAAAAAAAAAAAAAAATTCAGATAAGAATCAAGTTATACAGTACAAATACAAAATACTTTCAGACCACATAAACCCACATTGCAATAATACTATAGATTCAGATAGGATCTGGATTTCCAAACATAGTCTTTGTTTCTTATAGGCGTGTAAGAAAACACCATTTATAGTATGGAAAATGTCCAAGTTATGATGAAAGGAGAAGAGATTTTTAAAAGGTATGACTCATCCATCCAATGAATCATTAAATATCCTAGAAAGGGGTATTTTGTCATTTAATAGTTATATTGACTTAAAAAAACCCAAAAAACCTTTAAACTATATCCTTTTTTTGGTTGACAACAGTCAATACTTTCCATATTATATTACATTATTTGACTGAAAATGCGTTTTGTCTTAGTTTTTTTTTTCTATATGTAGTAAAGGTATAGCAAAGTAGAACACTTGAAAAAACTTGCTGACATCTGCTCTCATGTTGAAAAGCTGCCTTCCAAACATATCCCACAAAATATGTTCACAGGCACAACAACTAAAGGCAACTTTAATTACTTCTCAGTGTTGGAGCATCTCATTTGACTTTCTAATTTTCAGCTTTCCTACCAAAATCCTCACAAAGGGCCTGAGCAAATTCCATTTTCTCCATCAAGCCCTCCTGAACTGAGACTCCTCTTTCTGCTCTGAATTCCCTCAGCATCTTCTGTATGGACCCTAACTTGGTATTTATTGTCATCTTCAACTCATTGTGGTTCTTTCTCCACATGCCTATATCTAAGGTCTATAATACACTTAGGAGCTTCTTGAAGTTATAAGCCACGTCTTACTCATCTTCTGTAGGTCTCAGAAGAGCCATAGATGGAATAAACATTCAATGAATGTGTTAGAAATCGTGGTGATTTGGGTCATGATTTACAAGAATGTCGTTCAGCAGACCAATGACATGTTATAGCAATGACAGCCACTATGAATCCACAGTAACATTTTTTATATGTCTCTCTATTGCAATCCCATTCCTTTGCTATATTTTAAAATAAAAGTGCTTAGTGTTTCATCAGCATTTTCATTCCAAAAATTCAAGTCGAAATTATTTTTAAAAAGTTAAAAAACCTAAAAAGTATAATTACATTCTAGCATCAAAAAAAACAAAAAGCTTTTTCTCCCTCACAGTTATATTTTAGATCTTCTTTAGTGTCTAACCATAGTTAAGATGTCAGTATACAAATACATATCTACTGTGGGGTTGTTTTTCCAAATTTTATAATATCCTAAAAACCTAAATTTGTTTATTGGATTCATTTAAAATGTGGTTGTCACTCAACCATTTTGGAGGAAAGTGTATTGCATAAGACATAACATTTAAACTCAACCCAGAAGTTAAAACTCTCTATAAATAAGAAAAAACAGAAGCACTCCAAATAAGAAGCATGAAAGCCAGAGGAAGTGAATGTGTAGCTCCAAGTTCTGTGGCCTCCGAAAGGCTCTGCCCGGCAGAGTCAGCTGAGAGAAAACAAAGCGTGTGTGACATGCACAGGGGGAAATGCACATGTGTGGGCTCACTGATGCCAGAATCCAGAAGTGGCTCAAGAGTAAGAGGCCATTGATGAGAAGTAGGTTTGGATTAACTATGGCCTTGAAATTACCCCTGGAAAGTGAGTAGCACTCTCAGTTGTGAGAGGTGCATTAACCTCTTCAGACCACTAGGGTTCAAAGTGTTACATAAGGGGTAATTTATTAAATGGGTCCTAATTGCTTGGTAATGTACCTTCCAAAAGTCACTTCTCTATGCTATGATTAGGCCTGGGATTTGCCAAGTGCTGTCATTCTCTTGTAACTCCATAATGGGACGCTAGGATATGGGAAGCTGGTCCAATGGAGAGTGTCTCGTCGGGTTCAGAGTCCTACCAATGAAGCCAGGCAAACTTTCATTTCGTTCTCCAGTGTGTAAACACCAAGATACAAAATTGATACACTTTTTTAGTAAAATATGGCTTTTACCCAATACATGGATACGTTTTAATAGCATAGGGATAATTGGTATAATTGTTTTGAAAAGATAGGCACACTTTTAAGATTTGTAAATTTGTCCACTTCACTAAATGATTTTCTTCCAAGTCTAAAAATAATCATGCTTTTTGTTTTCGCCATCTGCAAGCACATTTTCTTTTGGCCTCTTTGTTCACACGAAGGCCAATCCACATGACTTCTTATTGGGTTCCAACACAAAACAGCCTCCTTTCTATCCGTCATCCACCTGGTACTGGCTTTGTTAATTAGCAAGGCCAGCAGAGGGAGTGCCAGAGCATCGTTACAAAAACAAAATAAAAAATTTGTACGTGGTAATAACAATTTGAAGTAGAAAATTTGACATTAGACTACAAGGGATTATAGCACAGCAAAATCTACATATGGAAGTAGCCTTGCTCATATCATATAGGCAATAGGCTAGAACCGAAGAGGCAGGACTTCTAGTCACTGGCATAGTCTTACAATATTCATGAACTCACCAAATACAATTGCGCCTCACTTTTTCAGTCTTGAAAATGGCTATCACAGTAGCTTTCATTAAGAATAAAAAGGGTGTATCCTCCTCAAGAAAGAGTGATTATTTAAAGACTGGGAATTAGTGTCACAAGAAAGAAGCCGATGCCATTTCTGTCTTTCAGAGTTCTGGGTCATTTCTTAGATTTGACCATGGATGAAAAGCAGCTAGGTAGCATCCTCTTATGCCCTCAGAACAGCATTTTGATTAGATCATGGAGTTAGACATGTATCTTTTTAACATGAACAAATAAAAATGATTAGGCTTCAAAGCAGCATGGGGAAGCCTTTGTATCTGAGAAAATTATATATTCTAATCCCATACTTTGTTTTACAATTCTTATTTCAGACCATTTATAGGAGTTACACATTTTTCAAACATGTTTTCAAACTGTTTGTTACAATGCAGTTCTGTCTAAATCCATCACTTAGTGGTTTATGGTTCTTTAAACCTCAGTTTCACCCATAAGGGAATGTGCTAGAGTTTTCCAGAAGTCTTCAATAGCATTTCTTATGAGATAATATGAGTGGCCCTCATAACCACTTTCCCCCAAAGGGCATCTTTGAAAAAATGATAACCAAAGCAGGCCGGGCTTTACGCACCGTACAGAGCTAAATAAAATCTTTCTTTGTATTAGAAGCTTGAGATAATCTCAAGGATAGTGCAAGTTGCCTGGAAGTTTAGCAGGAAAATAGTTTGGAAAGTAAATATTCAGTTCTGCTTTCTCCAGTAGATGTCACTTTCTGTACATAGGATATCAAGACATATAAGATGCACAGTATTCCTTACAATGATGGCGAAATATAACTTTGAGTTCCAGCCACATGTAAACATTGCTAAGCTTGCATTGGTTATGTTATAGTGTTAGGACACTTAACTGTACAGGCAAAAGAATGCCATTAATCAACCATCGTACATATGTCTGTGTGCCCTTAGCAATGGCCATGAAGCATAACATGTGACAGAATATTGCCAGTGCCTTTTCAAGTTACAGAAAGCTGAGTATTATTCCACATCACAGCATTAAATTAATTTGCCAGAAACAAACATGGTTCCTGAATAAATAAGCAGTCATTAATAATACACTGAATACTTACCAAGAACCTAATTAAATGTGGATTCACTTAACCTATTACAATTTCAAGCGTTATTCTTCCTGGGTCCTTTATATCATTTCAATATTCACATCAGCTTCGTATGTCTGAGGAAAGAAAAGCCTGGTTCTCTGTAAAGTGTTTCACTACACAGCAAGAGGTATCGACATTAGAATGAGAAAAAGAGAAAGGAGAGAGACAGAAAGAGAAAGAATTATAAACCTTAAATAACATGTTTATGACATCCACATGTACAAGAATAAATATCAAATGATAGGAGAATATTAATAGTTTGAATTAGATTAA